TCCATACGTTTGATTAATTTAAAGGGTCATTTGGAAACAAAAATAACAATATTGCCATTTCACCACCAATTTTTTTTAAAAAAACAAGCAAAATGTCAGAAAAATAGTCAGTCAGGTTTGGGTAAAGGTTTTTACCCAATAATCAGTCAGGTTTTTGGTAACTCTTTTTCACACGCTTTACTTTGGTGACCCTGTTCTGGAAAAAAGGCATACTTGAATGAGTCCAGTTGACTACTGGTGGCAGTACCCAAAGCATGGAAGGATTCTCCATGGCATAGCACACCCTTATTCCCCCCCCTTTCTCTACAAGCCCTATTTACATTACAGTTAACATCTGCAAGAAAGAGCATTCACTTTACAAAGGAAATTCAGGACTAGTCACTAGATAAATGGGGTCTGAATCACATGTCGACCTGTACATGCATTGAACATAATGTGATAATCATTTAATGCTCATGTAAAGAATGATCAAGTGTACCCTGTATACTGATTGTATGTGTGTGCACTTTAACTTGTGAACAGGGCTATAGCATGTGTGTAACAGCACACCTCCCATATCCCTGTCCACTCCTTCCTTCCCCATTCAGTCAAGGAACATATAAACTTCAAAGGTGGGTGGGGAACAGGGTTCTGCAGTACCCGATGGGGATCCTGCTATGGGCAAACACAGTGCCCAATGTGTCATGTCTTTTCTTTTTTGTGGTTTTTTTTTGTGTGTGTGTTTATGTATGTGATTGCATGCCTGGAAGTCATGGTGACTTCTGGTGACCCCTACTGGGGTCTGCACGTTTCAGAGAAGTGACTTGATTGCCTGCCTCTGCGCCCTGAGCCCTGGTATTCCTTGGAGTTCTGCCTTCCAATTACTTGCCAGGGTCAGCCCTGCTTAGCTTCTGAGATCTGACGAGATCAGGCTTGCCTGGGCTATCCCGGTCAGGGCTCCAATGTGTCTTTTCTTCTAATTGGCTAGGTGAAATGCAAAAGTTGGTTTACACTAAATTATCGCTAGGAATTCATTATTGATTCAACATAGGATTACAAGTGATCTAACCCACAGCTAACTTGCTGCATCTGCACTGAAAAGACTCCACAAACTGGTCTAGGTGCCATGACAGGCCATGAATCGCAGTGGATGACTTTGCAGTGGTCTCTCTCTCTCTCTGGATTGCTACGAGAATTAAATGGAGGAGGGGAGAGCTGCGTATGCTGCCCAGAGCTCCTTGGACGAAGCGTGGGATAAAAATGTGACTGATAGATAACTGGTTCATGATATGAAACTGAGACCAGCTTAAATGGATCTCTGGCAAATAGCATATTTAAGACTCTTGCAGGTAGGGCAGAGGTGTCGAACGCATTTGTTACGAGGGCCAGATCTGACATAAATGTCACTTTGTTGTGCCGGGCCATGTGTGCCTTAAAATGTAACACCATTTATAAAGGACACAGGCAAACCCAATTAACAATATTATTTTTTACTTAAAAAACAAACAAAAGCAACTGATCCCCAGCAGTGAAAGCGATTGATTTACTGGGGAACCCACAAAAGCCCCAAAACATGTATTTAATAATATGCAAGACTCGCTTTCCAAGAGATACCATAAAAGGGGGAGTACCTTACATTTCCATACATATCAGTTGCAGGCAGGGCTGGCCCCAGCTTTTTTTTTTTGCAGACTAGGCGAGGATACCTTCTGGTTTCCCCCCCACCCCCCGGTGTGCCTACCAATTTTCAAACATAACTGCATTTTAGGATCCATCTTGAAAATGCCAACAGATGGGGAAAAGATCTGCATGCCGTGTACAACTGTCTGGGCACATCTGTTCCCCACCAAACATCTCAAAAGCCTCATGTCTCAATTCTGAGAAGCCTGAAGGAACAGAAATCTTTTCCTTCTGCCTCTAAAAAAATCTTGACGTGTTCTCTTGGAGATAACACTGCAGAGCATCTCTGCCCTTAGAAGCTGCCCAAGCCGTGTCTGCAGAAGATGGCACACTAAATACTTGGATGGGAGACCTCCTTGGAATACCAGCAGTTGAGAAGCAGGGGCAGGCTTTATTTATACCTCTCTGAATATCCTCCAGACAAGTAGTCAGCAGGCGTGTGTCGCTGTTTAAAAGGTGCCGGCAGCAGGGCACACTGCCTGGGGCCTTCCCCTTTTACTCTCATCAGGCACCGTGGCTGCTTTGCGCTTTCCTTCTCCCCCCTGACTCTGCTCCTCTCTTCTCCCTCTCCCTCCCTCCTCCACCCCTTCCCTCGCTAAGCCAAGTGGTTCCCTTTCCCGCCCAGCTCCTCGTCGCTTTGAGCGGACGGGGGTGAGAGAGGGAAGTGTTCCCTCTAAGCCTCCAGCTCACACATTTTCATCTTAGCTCAGGAAGGGATGGCTCCAGAGAAAACTAATGTAGGCTTTTTTGGGGGGGGAGGCAGCGGGTGCAGTATGGCGCCCTGATGATCAGCCCGCTCTAGGCGAACGCTCTAGTTCGCCTAGTGAGTGGGCCGGCCCTGCTTGCGGGCCAGGTAAGAGCCCTGGACAGGATGGTTCTGGGCCTGGGTCTTATGTTTGACACCCCTGAGGTTGTATAGTTTTGAAGTGACATGGTTGCAGGAGCCATCCTTGCAATGCATTTTTATCCTTTTTGTAGCACTCTTGCAAATTTGATCATACGTGCACTCTTCAGTTTTCTGTTTTTGAGATTAACCTTCTCAGTTATTTTCCCTGTCCTGTTTCCATCTCCACTGCCGCCCTTTAAACCCTTTTGACTTTATCTAAAAATGAACATACACGTACAATTACAGCCTACAATCAAAGTTTGTGTATGGGTTTTTTAAAAAAAACTATACCGTGTAATGGTGAATATGAAAGCAAATCTTATTTCAAAAGAAGGGTATTTGTGTGAGCATAGTTTTGAAGCACTACCTTTCTAGGAAGCTAAGTGGCAGTAATTAACGGCAACACGTCTTTTGCTTTATAATCAAGGTTTGCTCAGTTTCCTTACTACGAATACCTTGGGAGTTAGAATTAACTTGTTTTTGTTTGCCGAGCTGAAGTGTGATTAAGTTTATCATTTACAATTAGCTGGTTTTCAGCAGCTCCAGATGTGATGCGGCCTCATAATCTGGACACCTGAGAGTCCCATTGTGTGCTGAAGGATCAGGAATGAAAGATTTCCCCTGGCTGATTACTACTCAACATGTTTTTAAGCTTTCTTACAGACAGCAGGCCTCAGAGGAAACACCGATCTGAACGTTCTTATTGATGGCTGATGATTCATTATTCTTATATGTCAGTTAGATATTTCCTATGGAAAATCATAAAAGCTCAAAGAATGACCCAGTTATTTGAACTACTGGAAGCTTTCAGTACTGCATTATTAATCTAACAAATATGAACAATTTCTCTCCTGGCTCCTGTTGTCATCAACCTCATTTAGATCACATTTAAAGAGGAAAGAGAAGATTCTAATTAAAATAGCTCACGGAAAATGTCCTGATATTTATTATAATGAAGACCTTGAAGTTTTATCACACTTTTTCTCCCTAAGAAAAAACTATCCAAAAACCCAGCGACTTTCAATTACTTTAATTCTTGTAACAAATCACATGGATAATTTTAGTGTATCTACAGATGATAAAGAAACTGTGGGGCTGGTTTTGCAATTGCCAATAACCACAAAAAGGGGGGTGGGGAGAAAGAAAATTACACATGTACAAAACCAGTTTGTAGAGACAACACTAATTCAGAATACTGTGTGGAAAAATTCATATAGGTCTATTTTTGGAACCATGTCTGTTCCCAGCAAAGAAAATTGCTCTGTGAGTTCAGAATCAGGTGAGAAAGAATTCTGGAAGCCCCAGATGTCACACTCAAACCCATGCACTCCTGAACAAAATTGGATGCAAGGTGTAGGCTTTTCTTCTCTCATTCTGAGTGTAAGCCATATAATGCAGCTGTATTTCCAAACATTTTATTGATCCAAGGATGTATATACGAAGCATGATTCAGTGAGTGGATATAGACAACCAGGGCTATTTTTGGGCAGGAACGCACAGGAACGGAGTTCCGGCTGGCTTCAGAGTTGGCCACACCCACTACAGCCAAAACCTCTGCGTGCGTGGCTACAGAGGGAAGGCCTGGAGAGTGACCCCCCCATGACTCCAAGGTGGGTGGGCCAGGGGGGGCCCCTGGAAGGATCGGGGAGGCATTTAAATAGTATGGCCTAATATGCTAATGAGTTGTGCTGTCGGGGTTTGTGGCCTATTATGCTAATGAGTTCCTGCTGGGGTTTTTCTACAAAAAAAGCCCTGTAGACAACCATGGGCTTGCCACAATTGCCACATGTAGCCATATGGTAGATCAGATGCCTATACTCTGCTACCAAGTGGATTTATGATGCAGGATTTCACTGTACCAGCTCCGATCAACCACATTTTTAAAACTTAAGTAAAATAACTTATAAAAGAAACTGTAATTGCCCCCCCCCACTTTGTACTTTCCACCCCTTGATTTTGTCAGCATAATGTTTTGAAGGGCAGAAAGCGGTAAACTCACCTCATTTTTGGTTTAATCTTGAGTCTTCAGAGGTCAAGTTCTCACCTTAAGGCACTGAGTAGCCCCTGAGTTATCATTCATCTGAAAAGTACCAGGGGCTTTTCAGCAGGCCATTTTGCTTTGTTTTAAATGCCTGTTAAACTAATATTGACTTTTCCCACTAAACCAAAATCTCTGTTATTTGTGCCCAGAAGGCTGGGGGGGAAATGCAGGAAGCTGAAGAATTAATCTTCCTGACCTTTTCTTTCTTTCCCCCTATACCTTGGAGAGTCAGTCTATTTGTAGTATGTACCTTAGAGGGGTGTGAGATATTCAAGCAATGTTGTTTTCCATATTAAACAGAACTTTTCAGCTCTACAGTCTGTTGTATTTCTTTATTTTTTTCTAAAAAAATACTTTCACCCAGTTTCTTTCTTTAAAGTGCCTCTAGAAGTTAACATTTTAATTGGTTTGTACCTGTATCCATTCTCTGATGGAATCCTCTCCCGGCGTCCACCCATTTTCAGGGTAATTCAAGCGGGACCTTTCAGAAGACCAGTTGGTGCTGTACTGAGAAGAGGCACTGATTTGGTCAGAATGAATTTCACCAGATTCCATTCCAAGTGGTTGTATGCACTGGAAATCTGAAATAAACATCCGGTCAGTATGATAATTTCTCTAAAAAGTCATGGTTACAATCCATATACTACTGAAGTCCATACAAAAAAAATTCCTAGTGAAATTAATACTTTGAATGGAGAAACCTAATTATTTATATGTGACTTCCAGTTTGGGCCTCTAATGTCTTTCTTAGTGCTGGCAATATGAGGCCAGTCCCAATCTTACTTTTTTGGAAACATGATGGAAGATAAAACTCTTCCTTAAGTTGGAAGAGCCTGATCTTGCCAGATCTTGAAAGCTAAACAAGTTAGGCCCCCTGGCTAGTAGTTGAATGGAAGACCTCCAAGGAATACCAGGGTCGTGTGGAAGCAGGCAGTGGCAAACCACCTGTGAATGTCTCTTGCCTTGAAAACCTCATGGGGTTGCCAGAATTCAGCTGTGATTTGAAGGCACTTTCCGCCACCACCAAAGTTGGAATGAAACACTTCGGAAGCATTTTTTATTCTTTAGGATACTCATGTGGCAGACCATTCTGACATAATAAATTAAGATTTTGGGAGGTTTTGAGACAAGATATGCAACAGTATTAGCCCAACATGGGAATTTCCATCACAAAATACAAAGAACTGGCAAATATTACATTTGAGGGTCAAATCACAGTGCCAGCTGCTCTGTGAATAACATTATGGTGTATTTGGATCTGGATGAGGGATTAAATGGTCTAAAGGGTGGTGTGTGTGTATTTTTGTATTCCACCCTTCTGAGATTAGATAGGTTATGCTGACAGACAGTGGCCAGCCCGAGGTCACCCAACAAGCTCCAAGTGGAGATTCTGTGGTCAAGGTCCAGCACACTACAGCATCATGGCTGTTGTACTTTACTGTACGATGGAATTGGCCAGACAACAGACACATGGAGCCAGCTCTGGAGAGTTCACTTTTGAGTGTCATCAGGAGCCCTTGAATGGTTCACTAGCTTCTGTTGCTGGATGGTGTTTTCTTCTGGTTTGGTGTGATCGTGCTAATGTTTACATTGTAAGGTGCTTTTTCTTTTCTATGTATATTCTATGAATATACTATACTATCTTACGAATATACACAGAAACAAAGAAAATAAGTAATAACAACTCAACACAATATAATTATAAATTTAGTTTGGCAATATAGTATTTGTGTATGTGTGTCATGTGCTGTCAAGTCACTTCCGACATAGTGACCCTATGAATTAATGTTCTCCAAAACATCCTGTCATTCTTGCAAACTGAAGGCCATGGCTTCCTTTATTGAGTCAATCCATCTCATGATGGGCCTTCCCAACATATAGTATTTACAAGAGTAAATATTGTATTTACAATCTGTGTTGACATTCAGGGGATGGGAAATTCCATTTTTCTGTTCCTTACAACTGCTTCCCCACCCAGTCTCCAGCTTGCCTCCCCTCCATATGCTCACCTTGTCCTAGTTTGGCTCTCTCTGCCCCCTTGTTGCTTCTGTTTGCCTATTCTGCCTGCTCAGGCTTCCCTATCCTTTGAAATAGCGATCGTTTGGGTCGTTGTCTTCCTGCCCAACCTTTCCCAGCAAGAAGTGAGAAGCTGGCAGGCAGGGAGAGGTAAACTGAACTTTCCCACACACCCTTCTCCTGGTGTTCCTTTGTGTGCCATTTTGGGTTATTATTAGGGATTGGCATGAACCCCCAAATGAACCCCGGTTTGAGCACCAACCAGGATGGTTCATGGTTTGTGAGCCAGGGGTTTGGGAGAATGAGTCTCCCACCATCTGCCTACCTGTTTTTCATGGAGGTTTGTGAGGTTCGTGGGAGACACTAAGATTTTTTTCTGTAAACTGGGTTAGTGTTTTCAAAACACTATATTGTAGCTGTTGCTTAAGGGTCAAACTTGCTAGGATTATGAAGAATCCTTGTCTATTAATTGTTAATAGATACAAAAATTGTGCTAAAAATGAGAAACAATTGCTTCACTGCATGTTAATTTTTATGGAGACAGGAAAATTTGTTAATGTAGCATGTAAGTTAAATTAATGTTCTTGTTTTAGTTGAATCAGGCACAGGAACTTGGGGAACTTGCAATGATGTTTAATTTGATCTATCTGTCTTCTAAACTTCAGCCTTAAATGCTAATCAATCTAACCTTCATACTCATTTCTCCCTACATGGGAGAGTAAACAGGCCAGTCCATTTAACAAACATTTAATTCAGACAGGAAGACACTAAATGTTGACAAGAATTATGCTGTAAAATGTTTTTAAAATCAGAAAGCAGCAACAATGTGAAAGGGTATGATTAACCTTGTATTCCCTACAATTTTAATTCTATTTGAAGGTGTCCTTTTTAACAAATGAGATCTAGTTGATCAGCATTTCCTCAATGACAGAAACAATTTTGTAAAGTCAAACAGAAAAAGTACAACTGGTTATTAAGAGGCATTTAGGAATAAAGTCAAACTTGTTTAAACTGGTATTTCTGTTAAAAATAATGGATTATAGCATTTTTCAGACCTCAGTTTAGGGTAGACAAGGGTTGGGTTCTAGAAAAGATCTGCTTTTGTAGTTAAGGTAGCTGCTGCAATTCTCTCTCGAGAACTGTTCATGAGAGAACAGCTCTGAGAGAACTTACGACTGACCCAAGGTCACTCCAGCAGTGGGGAATCAAACCCGGTTCTCCCAGATGCTCCTCACCTCTGTGCTCCTAACCTCTACACCAAACTGGCACCAAACCTGCCTTCCTCAGGCTCCACCCCATATTTCCAGTAATTTCCCAACTTGGAGTTGTCAGCCCTAATCATGGTACACTGGGGTCTGGATTTAAAACTTTCTCCTGTTGCCTGTCCTGAAATGGCTCTGCAGAATTCCTATTTGCTGTGTTGAGATAAGGGGGAGGGGTGTGTGGCTCAATGGCAGAGCATCTGCTTGGCATGCAGGAGGTCCCAGGTTCAATCCCTGGCATCTTCAGTTAAAAGGAGCAGACAGTAGGTGATGTGAAAAACCTCTGTCTGAGACCCTGGAGAGAGCTGCTGCCAGTCTTAGTAGACAGTTCTGACTATGATGGACCAAGGGTCTCATTCAGTATAAAGCAGCTTCATGTATTTATGGGTTCATGTGTCCTCATGTAGGTCCTGATCAGATTCTGTCTGTGAGGACCACTGAGCCAGACCACTGTCCCATTTAGGCTTAACATTGTCTACTCTGGCTGGCAGCAGCTCTTCAGAGTCTCAGACAGACAAAGGACATTCCCAACACTGATTACCTCATATCCTTTATCTGGAGATGTGGAAAAGTGAGCTTGTTTTGCCACTGAGCCATACGTTTGCCCAGTGGAGTAAACAGCAGTTCCATGGGGCCACCTGAGGTACAAGAGGGAAAGGCTTACTTCCCTGTCCTTCTGAGTCATGGTCCTGATCCAAATCAGGGTCCCTCAAGTCTGTTTTTATTTAAAGAGGAAAAAACTCCACTGAGGTGAGTGCCTGCATCTGATCCTTTGACTGTGAAGGTAAATAGTAAATGTAGGCTGAAATACAGCAAGATGAAAGATTATATACAGTGAACTGACTACTTGTGTTTTGGTAAGTATAATGGCTAAGAGAATGAGGTGTGAGGACTCTAGTTCACATGTTGCCACAAACTCACTGACTCAGCTTAGGTCCTCTATATGAAATATAAGAATCAAACACTAGCTTGTGTTGCAGGGCTGTGGAAAAGTTTACAAGAAGATATTGTTTGTGAAGTGCTTTGTACACCTCAAGTGCTATACAAATGCTAAGTATTTTTACTGGTCTCATCCAACACTCCCTCTAAGCCGTGGAGTCTTGTGAGCAAAAAATCTTCTTTGTGAGCTACTGGCATTAAAGTTGTGAGCGAGCAATTTGGCTACTGCATAAATTAGTTTGCTCTGGAGCCATCCTTCCTAAGACAAAAATGTGTGAGCCAGAGGCTAAAAAACTGTGAGCTAGCTCACACTAACTCAGCTTAGAGGGAATACTGGTCTCATCTTTCTTTCTTTTTTAAACCCCCGAGAGGATATTTTTATTATTTTTTCATAAGACTATTAACTACAATGAAAAATGAAGGAAGGGGGGCTACATCTAAGGATAAAGGAATGATACCCACACTAACTAAAATCCCAAGAGTAGGAGATCCTTTCCAAGTATCTCAGAAAAACCTCGCTGTTTATTTCCCCCCTTCCCCCTTCGCTACATTAGTCCATTCATGCGCTTAGGAGGCATCCCTCCTTACACTCCGCTTTTCCCACGGGGGGTACTCCATTTTAGTAAAATAGTCCGTTTATTTCGAACTCACATTCATTGTTGGTCATATCTTGACCCCACTCTCTTCATACGCTATTCCGCTCGATCTCCTGCACTTGTCCCGGTTAGATTGGCTTGTACCCTAAGGTCACCCATTGGCCGGACCATCGGGGTGGAAGGAAGCCTCTATTCTCCGGCATCAAGCCGTCGAAGAGGCTAACCCTCAAAAGCCCCCTGGCCTGGAACCCTTCACAAGGGCTCCGTAGGGGTGCCACTTGAGGTGGCACCCCTCCAAGCTGAAGGTGTGCTAGTCACCTCCTCGAGCTTCGAGGAGAGCAACCGCCATCGCCGATCCACCCACTGGAAGTTTTCACTGGTCTCATCTTATCGTTGGAAAGTTCACAATACAGTAACTTTCCTGGAGCTAAACAGGCACAGGTCTCAGCAATGTCTAAATGGGAAATTCAGTATGCCACCTTCAGTTCCATAACTGAAGAAAGGTGGAATATAAACGTAACAAACAATTAAAAAAAACCTTTGGGCAATTTTTATTGGGTTGGATCCAGCCAGCATTTTCACTCACTCTAGGGAAGTCAGGTCTCCTCTGCCAGCTCAGCCTCCCCACTGCCATGCCTAGCTGGATAGTGGGGGGGGGGATGCTGGGGGTCAGCAATGCTGCAGGGTCAGCATTGCACCATTATCATGATGTTGCTTCTGGTGTGACTTGGAACTGATGTAATTGTGTCAAGCAATGCTTTGGCATTCATCCGAAACCACAGAGTTTTGGCTGAATGATACAGTGTGTCCCCTACACAATGATGTCACTTCCAGGCTGTACCAGAATTGATGTCGCGACATCATTGATGAGATCACAACATAAGTCTCCCACCAGCTGTCAGCATTGGTCTGGCAACCCTAACTCAATTTCACCTACTTTCCCTCCTTGCTACAGTTCCCATCCCACACGGCTTTTCTCCACACAGGTCTCATGACCCCCAGCACAGTCTTGTTGGTAGTCAAAGGGGACTCCCTCTTCCATCAGCAGATAATATGGTTGGACTGAACCCATTGTCTAGATATGCTGTTTTCAGTTTCTGCCACAGCTTTCCCACAGCCTCGTGACTTTTTAGGGAAACAAACCTGAGAGGAATTGTCTTTTCCTGGCATTGATAATCAAAGGGTAGATGCTTTTAAAACAGATACACACCTACCGCGTCCTTATTTATCTAAGGTTTCTTTAAATATTTCATGTGGCACCCAGTAGGTGAGGAGACATGACTGAGAATAATCAACGCAAAGCGCTGCAGGATGGATATAAACACTGACCTTCCGATACACTGTTCTGCAAGACGGTGTAGTTGGCAGAGAAACCTTCTTTTGCGATTGCACTGTCGGTGTAGAAAACCAGGGAAAGAATGCCAGTTGAAGAGCGGACACGGCCTGGTGTATTCTGTCCACAATATCGGCCTATGTGAAGCAAAAAAAAACGGGGGGGGGGGGGAAGAGAAAAACAATGTTACAATGCATTTTCTGTGCAACAATTGATGATGACCACAGAGTGGCCTTCCCAGAAAACAGCAAGTGTCTTGCAATGGTCATACTGTATTAGCAAAAACAATATATCATCCTAGCCTGCCATAAAATTATTGCTGTTAATGCAGCTTCTGGGGAAAAATACAGATGTCCAGAGCATGTACTTTTTATTTGGGCAAGCCATAGTTCTGTCAGAGCTGTTCTTGAATAAAGAGCAGTTTCTGTCAGAGCTCTCTCAGCCCCACCTACCTCACAGGGTGTCTGTTGTGGGGAGGGGAAGGGAAAGGAGTTTGTAAGCCACTCTGAGACTCCGAGTGAAGGGGGGGGGTATAAATCCAATCTCTTCTTCTTCTTCTTATGAATATGATTCATGATAAATGAGACATGCGATTATAAGCACCAAGGAATGCTGATAACAAGCAGTGTTCATTAGAGGAACAATTCAGAAGAGGTAGACAGGAATGGAACAACCTGATCATTAGAATGTAGCCACTGTGGTGTACTGGTTAAAACATCACACTTGGGAGACCCAGGTTCAAATTCTTACTCCAATATAGAAGCTCACTGAGTGACCTCGGGCCAAACATTTTCCTTCAGCCTAAACTACCTTACAGGGTTGTTGTGAGGATAAAACTTTGGTTGTTGTGAGGATAAAACTTTGCTTTGGGTCATCATCGGGGAGAAAAGCAAGGTATCCAAATAAATTTAACAGTCCCTTGCAGTAAGGTGAACTCAAAGCATAATATACGCAGATCGTTTCATATACTATATGTATATATACAAATATATGATGATGTGACGGTGCTTTGCTATACACAACTTTTTCAAGTCAGAACAATTGGGCATTTATGAGATGTCACTTTAAACTGGTGTGTTGAAATATATTTTTGTTTTAAGAGGTTGCCCTTCTATTGTTTTCTTTCTGTCTACATCCTCTGGACTGGCGATTGTAGCTCTGTAGGATACTGTAAAGATTTGACACTCATCCAGTGACCTCTGTGTTTGCAGGGCAAACGGCTGCAGATTCTTCAGTAACTGCAGAGAAATGCCTTGAATGGTTGCAGCTGGCCATCCAGCCAGGCCTTCCCCCAGTTTGGGCTTTCAACAGCTTTAGTCAGCTTCTTTCTCCCTTCGCTCACACTGTGGCCCGTGCCACCAAAGAAATAATTCACACTGAGTATAAATATTTCCTCTTCATTACGATAATATCCCTCTGTGGTATTCACTGAAGATATATGCCAACAAAGTAGCCTCTAGAAGTTTAAGAACAACAAATCTTTTTGCTAGTAAAAAAATCTATAACAGGGCTGGCTAAAGTTTCTAAGCCTAAGAGCCTCTTACCACAATTTCCTTGTGGCTAAGAGCCAACACATACACAGGCTCTCCTTCCCAGCCCTTTTCTTCCTCCAGTCAAGAACTACATCAGCATTCACTGCCTCTATACTCTCACAGTGCAATCCTATTCGGAGTTACACCCTTCTAAACCCACTGAAGTCAATGGGTTTAGAGGGGTTTTACTATGCTTAGGATTGCACTGCCAGTATTTTTTTCTTAGCCCCATCACAGGCTCACACTCTTATGTGTGACTCCTCCCTACTGGGCAGAACCTTTTATTTTTAGGCTAGAAGCCCAGGCAAGACATCTGGTGTTGCTTTAGAAGAGATCCTTACAGCGATGGTACATGACCAGCATCATTAGATGCAACAAAATTTGTCTGTAGAAGTTGCTGCGACCTGGATATACTGTCAGAGTGACTCTCCACCCCTCGTGCAAACACTGTAAGAACTGTCACTGTTTATGCCCTTACTGTGGTAGCAGTAAGAGACGTGGCAAGTCTGAACTGTTCAGGGTTTGTTTGTTTTTTGAAGGTGGCCAGTCCTCCATATTCTGGCTTTATTACTTCATGGTATGGGATCTGTAGTTATTGTAATTGACAATTTCAAAATTGCATACTCTGCAGAGTACCTCTAGTCTAAGCCCATCTCAGGCCATGGTCACACACACTAAGTAATCCACTTTCAATTCACTTTCAGTGCACTTTCCAACTGGGTTTTTACTGTATGAACTAGCAAAATCCAGTTGGAAAGTGGATTAAGTGGATTATTTAGTGTGTGTGACCGCAGCCTCAGTCAACCCATCTAGTACTTTTTAAAATCCCATCCATCCTTCAGGAACGTAGAAGAGGCATACATGGCTGTGCACAGAGATGCCAATCCCCAGGTGGGGGATACCTTAATTTGGTGGGCTCCTGTCCACCACTGGCCAGCTGGCTTGTGGGGAAAGCCCTGCCCCTAAGTCCCACCCCCAACTGCAGCCACCAGCAGCCACCCCCTTCCCTCCTGCGAGACTGAAAGGACCCTCCAGCTTATCAGCAGGAGCACATGGCCCGCCAACCAGCTGGAGGGCCCTTTAGATCTTGCAGGAGCGGAGGGAGCGGGGTGGCCATTGGCCACACATCTGAACTCCAAGCGGCAAATTCGCCACTTGGGAGTTCAGGCATGTGCCCCCCACGTCTTGCCCAAAGCATTCAAAGGGACCCTTTAAATGCTTTGGGCAAGAAGGGGGGCGCCTGAACTCCAAGCAGTGAATTTGCTGCTTGGAGAACAGGCACGCAGGTGTGGGTCCCCAATGTGTCGGTCCCCAATGTGTTGATGTCACTTTTGTGTGATGTCATCACTTTGGGGACATCCCCTCCCCCTCCAGAAATGCCCCCCAAATTCCCCTGCTGGGGACTAGGAAGGACCTGGCAATCCTATGCACTGTGAAACTGCCATGCTGCTCAGTGCAGATGCTGGCAAGCAGGATAGGCTTGGCTGATTCAATCCAAAACAGGGATTATATCACATGTCCAGCCATTTCCCCTTTCCAGTTTAATAGAATTACCTTCTAACAAATCAGTCACAACAGCGAGGAGTGTATATTTGCATCATGAAATTGGACAGCATTGATTTTCCTTCCCTATAGCAGGAAGTGAAATTGTGTGTGTGTGTGTGTGTGGGGGGGCTATGACTTGTGATATAGTATCTCCTCTGCTATTAAGATAATGTAACCCAGGGTAATTTGTGTGGGTACTTGTGATTTAGCATGACTTTTATTTCAACCAGCTTTGTAGCTATTTTGCTTCAGTCTGTTTGTTAGGATAATGGAATGGTCTTTCACTATTCATTTTGAATTGCCCAATGGGCTACCAGTTCTAGGTTGTCAACTTGTGTTTGTGCATTAAGCAGTCATTTTCAAGCTCACAAAGAGCCCTAAAATTAATGTTGGTACAAGTCCATGTTTAGTGTTTCCTTAGTCTTCTGCTCTAAAAAGAACACAGATACATAATTATTTAGGGGTAGGGCCCATGGCTCAGTAGTAGACCATCTACTTAGCATGCAGGTGTTTCCAAGTAAAATCCCTGGAGAGCCACTGCTGGTCAGAGTAGACCAGTGATCTGACTCACTATAAAGCTAGGGATGCCAGCCTCCAGGTGGTGGTTGGAGATCTCCTGCTATTACAATTTATCTCCAGGCAACAGATATCAGTTCACCTGGAGAAAATGGCCACTTTGGAAGGTGGACTCCATGGTATTAGACCCCATTATTAGACCCCTCCCCCACAATCAAAGCCTCTTCTTAGGTTCCACTCCCAAAATCTCCAGGTATTTCCCAACCTGGAGCTGGCAACCCTACTATAAAGCAGTTTCAGTTTCATGTTCTCATTAACAACTACTACTACTACTAGCTAGCTAATTTAGTTCCACATTCCAAAGAACAGAAAGTAGGGAACTGAGAAATATGGGGTCCCTCTGTGTACAACGTGACCTTGGAGAAGAGTGAAACGCAAACAAACAAGTACTGTTTTCTCTAGTTCTGAATGCAGCATTTCCAAATGTTACACCTGTCCCCATTTTCTGGTCTGTCCCTGATAAATAATGGCTTTTTTGAGAGAGAGAGAGAGCGAGCTCTGGAGGATGCTGTCTTAAATTTTTCTTAGTTACAGTTAGTCTTTTCATTCTTCAGGTTTCTACCTCCTCCCTTGGGTGAGGTTGAACCCAGATGATTATATCTAATGGGGCCAGAAACATCTTGACTCGAGCACATATGCGTGAAAATGCATACCCAAAAAGCTTCCCTTCCTTCCCTCTGTAATTGCCTGTCCAGGTAGTAAAAGTTGGGGAATGTCTTTGAGTTGCAGCTAGTCTATAAATACAACCAGATGCCAGATCCACTGTGAGATGAGCCCTTCTACTGAGCATAGTTACATTTGCAAAAAAGTAAAATGTTACATTTGATTTACTAACACAGCATGCCTTGGAAGCAGGAGCAGGAGAGGCTATTGCAGACTGAATGTCAAGTAGCCAGTGGAGAGCCTTATTCATCAACCCATAATAACTGGGGGAGATGGAAAGAGCTCATGCAGTGCTCCTTGCAAGTGAGAACAGAGGTGTTGCAAGAGCTCACATCTTCTACCACAACACATTGGTAGTGTGCATCTCTTGTAAACAGCCTTTGGCTGCCACATTCATAAACACGTTTTTCACATAGTTCTGTTCTTCTTATGCTTTGCTGTGTCCAGCATGGCATCAGTAAAATGAAATGATGTCACAGAGCACGTTGCTAAGGGCAAAAGCTAGCAGGTACGGAACAGTTCTGTCGTTATAATAATAGGGTAGCTGTATCTTTTAAGGGACAAATTCATAGTTCTGGGCTATCTATGGAAGCTTGACCCTGAAGAGACATTCAAGTTGTATGAGTGTTAGGAACTCCTCTCAGACTGATTCAGAATTAGGCTCAGAAAACTGAAATTCTTTCCTCCCCCCAATTAAAAAAAAACCTGATTTTTTTTTACCCCTGAGTCCAATTCTGAAGAAGAATTGGCAACCCTAGCTTTATAGTGAGTCAGATCACTGGTCTACTCTGACCAGCAAGAAGATCAAATCAGTCAGTCCTAAAAGAAATCAACCCTGACTGTTCCCTGGAAGGCCAGATAATGAAACTGAAGCTCAAATACTTTGGCCAACAAATGAGAAGGGAGCACTCACTGGAGAAGACCCTGATGCTGGGAAAGATTGAAGGTCAAAGAAGACGGGGACGGCAAAGGATGAGATGGTTAGACAGTGTCATAGATGCAAGGTACATGAAACCGAGCAAACTCCGGAGGGCGGAAGCCAGGAGGGCCTGAAGTGATGTGGTCCATGGGGTCAGGAAGAGTCAGACTCGACTGTGCGACTGAACAACAACAACCAATTCTGAATTTGGAATAGGGTCAGCAGAGCAAGGAAGGGGTTCTTTTCTGGCTTGGATTATGAGCTAAAGAAGAATTCTAGGGGGGTCATAACAATCACTTTGGGTTACAGGTAACCAT